TTGTCCTATAGACCACTCCCAGAGCAACTGGCGAAAAAAAAGTTTTAAGCAATTATTTAACGTATCTGGAAGTACTTTTAAAGATGTACAGCTAATTAATAAACATTTATTTTTCAAATATACCAAAATTCAGGAAGATCAGCAAGTCTGTTGTGCTTAAACCAACAGTAATTGATACAACAAAAAATCATTTTATTCCTCCTCTCATCCAGCTCAGTGAGACAGAAACTTTACTCCATACGAGTATAGCCTAGAACACAGGATTTCCTTTCCTTCCAGCTCCTAAGTCAGAAGCTAACTTCCCAAGAGGTGCACAATGTCAGTATTTCTCATCCTGCTCGCGGTTGCCTGTGCTGACTCTATGTTGCAGGCAAGTTCAGCCAGGTGGTGAGGGCTCCCTTCTTCTTCCCAGCCCAACTCATGGCATGGAGGCTTTACCTTGGGCACAGATCCGCAGAGACTGCTGGAGACCAAATCACTGTTGCCCAACTGGTGGAGCAGGGATTCCACACAGAGAGGTAAGCTGAGGAGACCTGAGGCTGTTCTCCCTATATACTGAGCACTCAGTTCCTAAATCTGATGTGTCATTCAGAGAAAAGTTCACCATTGCCCTACTTCCAGCACTAGAGCTTTGCTTCAGATTTTTGCCTGGAAGAAAGAACAAGGAACTGACTTCATTTGCAACCAAGTGTGGACAAGTTTAAGCCTAAAAGCACTCTCAAAAACATTGCAGGTTGTGGTAAAAAGCAATTGGGTGGAAATTGATGGGTTCATTGGAGATATAGGCTAAATTATAAACCAGCTATTTTACTGGAGAGAATCAAGGAAAGAGACAGCCGGAAAGAACCCTCCTGAGAGTCACAACAGATCTCAAACACTGACCTCAGGAGTTATCTCTTCAAAGGAGTCTGGTTTTGATGGGATCAGTCTCTAAAGAAATGTATGTAGTGTTGAAAACAATAGGGCAATCAGCCACCAATTAGTGGAACTTAACAGTTGAGTGTCGTCAGAGAAGGATACAATTAAAGAGAGCACTACAAAAACCACTGTCATCTCTGGGTGACTGTGGGCATACCCAAGGATGCACCCCCTAAGAGCAACACCAGAGGCTTCATGCAGGAAAATCAACTAAAATAACCCAGCAAGTCACAAAAAAGTAAACAAGTAAATAAGTTCCAAAGGGAAGAACAAATTTATCCAGTTGCTACAACACATTATTTACATCTACTTTTCTATAACAAAAAGATTATGAGACATACAAAGAAACAAGAAAGTATTACTCACATACCGGGGGGAAAAAGCCAGAACAACTGCCTGTGAGATAGATTGTATGTTGGATTTAACACACAAAGTCTTAAAAGTAGTCATTGTAAATGTGTTTAAAGAACTTTAAGGAAATCATGATTAAAGGAGTAAAGGAACATATGATGACAAAGCCACATGAAATAGAGATATTAATAAAGACATAGAAATTATTTTTTTTAAATCAAATGGAAATCTATAGTTAGAAGTACAATAACTGAGATTTAAAAAAATTAACTAGAGGAACTCAACAGTGCATTTGACCTAGCAGAAGAATTTGTAAATTTCAAGATAAGTTAATAGAGATTGTGAAATCTAAGAGCAGAGAGAAAAAAATGATGAAAAATGAACACAGCCTGAGAGAAATGTGGCACATCATTAAGCACAACAAATACATGTAGCGGGAATATTAGAAGGAGAAAGAATCAGAAAAGACATTAAAAGAATGAATGGCTGAATACAACCCAAATTTACATTAACATTAATCTATATATCTAGGAAGCTCAATGAACTCTGAGAAGAATAAACACAGAGAAATTCACAAACAGACAAATCAGCATAAAAATGTTGAAACCCAAAGACAAGAAGGAACTCTCTAAAGCAGTGAGAGAAAAATGACTCAGTTTACAAGAGAATCCCAATAAGATTAACAATGAACTTCTCATCAGGAATAATGGAGGTCAGGAGGCATTGGGATAACATATTCAGAGTGCTCAAAGGAAAAAACTGTCAACCAAAAACCCCAGATCCAGCAGAGCTGTCTTTTGAAAATGAAGGCTAATTCAAGACATTACAAGATAAACAAAAGCTGAGATCACTTTTTGTCTAGCACATCAGCCGTTCAACAGATACTAAAGGAAGTTCTTCAGACCGAAAGCAAATGACCCCTGACAATTACTAGGTTCCACATGAAAAAAAGCAATTATGCAAATACAAAAGGCAGTACAAATGCATATTTTTATCCTTCCTTCTATTAACTGATTTTAAAAGTAATTATATGAAGCATTTGCATAAAACATATTGTTGTCCCTATCATACAAAAATATCATATATTTACCAAATACAGAACAGGGAAACATGTGAGAGAAAAGCTGTACTGGGTTAAGAAAATGACTCCAGATAGTAACCCAAATCCACAGGAATCAATGAAGAAAACAAGAAATGACCAAGAAGGGTAATATAACAAAAGCTATGAACATATACTTGTTCTCCTTTCTACTCTTAGCTTCTTCAAAAACATAAAATTATATAAAACAATAATTCTATAATAATGTATTATGGTTTGTAATATTTATAGATGTAATATGTATAGCAACAACGTCACTAAAAGAAAGGGAGGAATGGAGCTGCATAGAAGTAATATTTTAATTTCTAACTGAATTTAAGTTAATGTAAATCTAAAGCTGATTCTGAAAATTTAAGATGTATATGGAAAGCCCTAATCATTAAGAAAATAATTCAAAAACATGTAGTAAAAATGATTAATGATTAAATGCTACATTTTTAAAATCACTTAATGGGAAATACAGTAATAATGATGAATAGAGGAACAGAAAAGACATAAGACATAGAAAACAAAAAGTAAAACGGTGGATGTTAATCCAGCTACATCAATAATACCATTAATGTGACTGGATTAAACAATCCAATCAAAAGGCAGAGATTTCCAGACTGGATTAAAACAAACAAACAAACAAACAAGATCCAACTAAATGCTGCCTATAAAAAATACACTTTAGATTTAAAACACAAGTAGGTAAGGGTAAAAGTATGAAAAAATGATATGTCATGTGAACAGCAACCACAAGAAAGTTGTAGTGGCTGTACTAATATCAGACAAAACAGATTAAAATGTTACTAGGGATAAAGAATGATAAAAAGCATCAATCTGTCAGGAAGCTATAACAATTATAAATATATGTGCAGCTAACAACAGAGCCCCAATGTACACAGAGGTAATTCAACAATAATAATAATAATAGAAAGATAATTCAACAATAAAAATTGGAAATGACAATTTCCTATTTTTAATAATGTACACCAAAAATTGGCAAAAGATCAAAAAGGAAATAAATGACTTGAACAATGCTATAAACCAGCTAGCCCTAACAGGCTTCTACAAAACACTCTACCAAACAACAGCAGGATATGCATTCAAGGGTACATGGAACATTCTCCAGGATAGACTGTATCTTAGGCCACAAAATAAACACCAATACATTTAAAAGGATAGAAAGCACGTTCTCTAAACATAAAAGAATGAAATTGGTTAACATTAACAGAAAGAAATTTGAAAACTCACAAATATGTGGCTACTAACAACACACTTCTTAACTAATGGATCGAAAGAGAAATCACAGGAGAAATTAGAACTCTCATCTAGTCCAACAACACTGGCATTTTAAAGGTGGGTAAACTGAGGCTCAGAAAGGGCTGAGGACTTAAAACCACACAGCTAGTCAGTTCAGAGCCTGGGCAACACCTCAGGTTCCCAGGACCCTATCTACAGCCCTTGGGACTAGGCGAATGGGCTTGATGAGAGTTTCCCAAAGTGTGGACTTGGACCACTGATGGAACGGCAGTGCTGCTATACACCAGGACCAGGGTGGGGAGAGGCATTTCCTGTCCAAATCTTTTTAGTCCTTTTCATCACTTCCCAGCCAAAGTGTCAGCTTGGTGTTGGGTGTCTTCACTTTCCCACCAACAATTGTTAGTCTCTCTGGAACTAGGGACTAGAAGGTCAGACCTTGAGCTCAGGGTCCCCCCAGACAACCAGACCCCACTGGAATGTGGTGGTGGCCTTGCTCCATCCCCATGTGCTATTGTCACAGCTACCTTCTGTTAACAGAAAGTGGTGGTATATCTTTTCATTTACATTGACTTAAGTAGGGAAGTTAAAAATAGTAAGTGAGAAAAGCATGTTGTAGGGCAGTGTGTGCATTGCATACTAAAACGTTGTCTTTGGATTGGAAAAATACATCAAATACATATAGTTCCTATTTGTTGATATGAAATAATAACCATGGCTTTGGGGGAGGGGCCGGGGGTGGGAGACAGGATGGGAGGCAGGCTCCCCTCAAAGCACTTACTAAACTTTGATTTTTGAACCATGTGAGTACAGCTCAGATCCAAACAAAAACTAAATGAAAAAATCAATTAAAACTTAAGACAACCATGAAATAAATTATAGTAATGCTCACTCATAAGGCAAAAAACTCAAAGGTGGCGCCCGACTGACTGAGGCTGGGGAGACGCCGGGCTGGCCGGGGGCTGCAGTCCCTCCATCTCTGACTGTGGTGATGGGGCCGCATTCCCGGGCACATGGCCCACTCCCCACCCTCCACTGCCCGCCTGGTTCCCGGCGGGTGCCCGGGCACGGCTCCCTCAGCCTGTGGGACTCCTGTCAGTGCACAATGTCCTGTCTGTTTCTGGTGCCTGGTCAGGTCGGGCCTGCCCACGCCAGACATGCTCTTCAGACTCCAGAGACCCCCACCTCACAGCAAACCCCAGTTCCTGTGCTGGGACTTTGGCCTGAAGATAGGAGCCGGCTGGGGTCAGAGTTCTACGTGAGGACCTCCCCATCCAGGGCAGGCTGCCTCCACCCTAAGTCGGTTTTCTCATGCTGCCCCTAGAAGATAATAACGAACAGCGCAGCTCTTCCATGCACTGCTCTAAGCATTCATCTTACAGCCACCCACTTCATCTGCCCAGCAGCTCCAAGAGGGGGTTCCCATTATCATCACCATCTGCATCATCCCATTTTCCAGGTGAACACATAGAGGCAGGCTAAATAATTTGCTCCAAGGCCACACATCTGAAAAGGCAGAGTCTGGATTTGAACCCAGGCCCCCTAACCCTGAATCCACCACAGAGCCGGGTACGGAGCGGAGGCCTACAAGGGTCTTGACTCTCAGCCCTTGGAGTTCCAGATGGGGCACCACAGCCCAGAGAGGGAAGCACGATGCACGAGGTCACACAGACAGGGGGCCAGACCCAGCCATGCATGGTGGAATCCCTTGGAAAAGGCTGCCCCATCCACAGGGATATATTTGGTCGGTGCAAAAATAATGGAGGTTTTTGCCATTACTTTAATAGCAAAAAACCACACTTACTTTGTACCAACCTAATACTTTGTGCACCTGTTTTCTTGAGAGAGAGAGAGCATGCACGTCTGAGTCTAGTGAGCCTATCCAGCAGGTTCTGCTGCCAACTGTCCACTCCCCCACCCCACCCACAGCCCCTGCCCTCATAGCCAGGCCCGCTCCCCGCATTGTTCCCATCTCACCTAAAAGAACATGCACATTTTTCTGTGGGAGACACACCTCTTTCCCCGCTGCAATCTAAGGAGGGTGGGGGGACTAAAAAGAAAAGAAAAAAAAAAAAAAACCAGGGAGGCAAGAGCTTCAGATTAGAGCAGCCACACAGAGGAGACCCAGTCAGGCAGTGGAAGAGGCTAAGTTTGAGGATCAGGTGGACAGATTGGGTCGCAGAGCCTGTTTTGTCATCAGTAAACAGGGTTCTCGGCATGTCATTTGCAGACCTGTTGTCAGGGTTAAACAGGATTTATGTGAAATGGCCTAGCTCAGGGCCCAATCCGGAGCAGGTGCTAATATGCATGCATTTCTTTCCTCTGTGCCTCAGCTTCATCATCTGGAAAATGGGGATAATAGAAACCTCTTTTTTGAGGTTTCTCAGGAGGATTAAGTGGGTTAATAACTGTCAAACTCATGAGAGGTGGCATGTGATCTGTGTGACCAAATATGTGGATTTGCATCTGTTATCTTCGGGTAACTGTTAATCATGCCCCTGTTCATTTCCAAAATGTCCTAGCTTGGAATAAAAACTATTTATGTCCTGTGTCAAACCATTGGCCAAATGAAGAGTGAACACAGAAGAGGACATGGTTGCCAAAGCCACATTCCCCCAAGCTGCTCATCTGTACAGGCCCTTGTCACCCCAGCCTATCCCTGTGTCTCTCCCAGGGCAGGGCTGCCTCTCACAGAGGACCAGGATCCTGAGAGGGCTGGGGGAGGGTCCCGAGGCTAAGTAGCATCACTGTCACTTCCCATTTCCACCAGGGTTAAATTGCAGATATAGTTTCTCAGGCCCCTCACTGCCCTCCCAGGTCCTGCAGTTCCCTGCTTCTGTCTCTCAGGCTGTCATTCCATCCTTTGCCTGGCTCTAGTACACAGGGACAAGGCAGCCCCAGGGTGATTTCTCTGGCTGGGCTCACTCTGGTTTCTTCTTGCCTCAGGCCTGCACTTATTTCCATTGCCTCCCTGCCTGGTGGACTCCTAAGCATCCTTCAAAGGCCAGGTCAAATGACCCCTCCCCCCCAAAAAAAAGCCTTCCTCTTTCCTCCTGGCAGATAGATCATCACTCCCTTCTCTGGGCATTTTTCTGGGCTCCCTCACTGCTCTGAGATGCACCACTTACCAGCCACCTAACCCAAGGAGAGTCTCCTAACCTCTCTGTGCCTCCATTTCCTCATCTGTGAAATGGGAATGAACATAACAAGATCTTCTTCCTAGGCTGCTGGTACACGGGAAGTGCTGAGAAGCGTACCTAGGACTTGAACACATAACTTCCTGTTACTACTACACTCTATTAACTATAATCATAGAAATCATCCTCACTATCACCCTCACAGTCCTCGCCACCTCACACTGCCACTTTTCCTGTCACCCTCATGAATTGGGGAGCACACACAGGGTGGAGGCTGGGGCCATCTCTGGATCCCCAGCTTACAGCCCTGAGATGGGCAGAAAATTGATCCAAATGGTAAAACAGCTGCTTCACATGGGGGGTATCTTCAGTTTCTTCCATGTGCTCCCACCACAGTGGTGGTCCAGCCTCCTCACGTGGGGGTCCCCTCAGTTTCCTCTACATAACCCATTGAATGGTAGACCAGCCTCCTCACACAGGGGTCTTTTGTTCCCTCCATGTGCCCCCACACCAAGGGCAGACCAGCCACACCAAATGGAAACCCTCTGTTCCCTCTGCACTCTCCCCAATGGTAGACCAGGCCCCTCACATGAGGTTCCCCTTATTTACCTCCACGTGCCCCTACCCCAATGGTAGACAGGCCTTCTCATGTGAACATCTGAGTTTCCCTCATGTGCCCAGCCAATGGTAGACCAGCCACCTCACCTGAGGGCCCCCTCAGTTTCTTCCACATGCCACCCCAATAGTAAACCAGCCAACTTACATGGGGTTCCTCTCAGTTCCCTTCACATAACACACTCACAAATAGACTAGACTGCTAACACAGGGGTCCCCTCAGATCCCACTATGTAGCCCTTTTAAGGACAGACCGACTCCTTACACGGAGATTTTCTCAGTTTCTCTTCACATGTCCCCACCTCAGTGGTAGACCAGCGTCCTAACATGAGGGTTCCCTCACTTCCCTTTGCGTGCCCCTACACCAGTGATTGACCAGCCTCCTCTCATGAAGCCCCCTCAGTTCCCACAGGTGACTTCTTCAGTAGATGAGCCTTCTCACATGGGAGTTCGCTGTTCCCTCCACATCCCCCCACCCCATGGTAGGCCAGTGTTCTCACATGAGGGTCCCCTAAGTTTGCTTGACGTGTCCCCAACTGAGGGGTAGACAAGCCGCCTCACAAGGGGTACTCCTGTGTGCCCTCCATGTGCCACCAACACAGTAGTAGACCTGCCTTTTCACATGGGAGTCCCCTCAGTTTCCTCTACATAGCCCATGGAATGGAAGGCAAGCCTCCTCACACAGGGTTCTTGTCAGCTCCCTTTATATGCCCCCACACCAACGGTAGACCAGCCACTCCAATGGGAATCCTCTGTTTCTGCCACATGCTCTGCAGCGGTAGGCCAGCCTCCTTACATGAGGTTCCCCTTATTCACCTCCATGTGCCCTCACCCCAGTGGTAGACAAACCTTCTCGTGTGGACATCCCCTGAGTTTTCCCTTGTGCCCACCTAAAGTTAGACTAGCCACTTCACACAAGGGTCCCCTCAGTTTCTTCCACACACCACCCCCCATAGTAGACTAGCTGCCTCACATGGGGTTCCCCTCAGTTTTCTTCATGTGACCCGCTCAGTGGTAGACCAGCTTCCTAACACAGGGGTCTCATTTCCCACCAGGTAGCCCTTTTAAGGATAGACCAGGCTTCTTACACAGGGATTTTCTCAATTTCTCTTCACGTGCCCTCACCCCAACGGTAGACCAGCATTTTCACATGAGGGTCCTCTTACTCCCTCCAAGTGCCTGCACACCAGAGGGTGACCAGCCTCCTCTCATGAGGTCCCCTGAGTTTCCTCAGGTGCCTTCAACGGTAGATAAGCACAAGGGCTCTCTATTCCATGTGCTTCCACGCTTATGATAGAAAAGTATCCTCACACGAGGGTCTCCTAAGTTCTCTTCACACACCCCCAACACAGTGGTAGACCAGCCACCTCACACCATGGTCCCCACGGTTCCTTCCATGTGCCACCCCCAATGGTAAGCTAGCATCCTCACATGGGAGTCCCCTCAGTTCCCTCCACGTGCCTTCACCACAATGGTAGACCAGACATCTCACAAATGGGAAGTCGACTCCATTTCTTCCATGTGCCCCCACCAATCGTAGATCAGCCACCTCACACAGAGGTATCTTAGTTCCTGTCCACACGGACCCTTCATGGCAGACCAGCCTCCTCAAATGCAGGTCCCCTGAGGTTTCTCCATGTGTACCCTCACCCCCATCCTCCTCACAGGCAGATTGTCTCTATCCCTCTCCACGTGATTTCCTCCATAATAGACCAGTCTCCCACATAGTGTTCCCCTCACTTTTCTCCATGTGGCCCCTGCAAAGGTAGGCCAGCCTTTCCACACAGGGGTCCCCAGCCTGCCCAAATGGGTTTCCTCTCAGTTCCCCTTCATGTGGCCCCAATGGTAGACCCAATGGTAGACCAGCCTTTCCACACAGGTGCCCCCTAACTTCCCTTTACACTCTCCTACCCAATGATAAACCAGCCTCCTCAGACATAAGTCCCCTCAGTTTTCTCCACATGCTCCTATCTCAGTGGTAGATCAGCCTGTTTATATTGGGGTCCCCACAGTTACCTCCATGTGCCCACCCAGTGGTAGTCCAGCAGCCTCATGCAGGGGTCCCCTCAGTTTCCTCCACGTGCCACCCCCAATGGTAGATCAGCCACCTTGCATGGGTTTTCCCTCAGTTCCTTTTACGTGACTGTCTCAAAAGTAGACCACCCACTTCACATGGGGGTGGGAGTCCTTTGAGTTCCACTCCTTGTGGACCAACACATGCCGGTCCCCTCAGTTTTCTCCAGGTGCTCCCCGAGTGGTAGACCAGCCTCCTCATATGTGGGTCCCCTCTATTCCCATGTGGCTTTCTCAGTAATAGGCCAGTCTCACACAGGTTCCTCTCAGTTCCTCTTCATGTGATCCCCCTCAATGGTAGACCAGCCTCTCCACACAGGGGTACCCCAACTTTTTTCCTTACCCAATGATAGACCAGCCTCATCACATGGGGTCTCCTGAATTTTTTCCACAAGCCCCCTCCCCAGTGGTAGACCAGCCTCCTCAAATGGGAATCCTCCCAGTTCTCTCCACATGCCCCCCGATAGTAGACAGGCCTCCTCACATGAGGGTTCTTTTAATTCTCCTCCAGATTTCTTTATTCCAATGGCGGAACCACCCCCACACACGGAGATTTCATCAGTTCTCTCCAAGAGCTCCCTCCCACCCTGGTGATAGACAATCTCCCTTACTTGGGCATCCCCTCGGTTCCCTTTACATGCCCCCAAAATGGTAGACCAGTCTTCTGATACTGGGGTCTCCTTCCAATTCCCTTCATGTGCCGCCACTTCAATAGTAGACAGCTGCTTTACATGGGGTCCCCTGAGTTCCCACCATGTGCTCCCATCCCTGTGGTAGACCAGTCTCCTCATTTGGGTGTCCCCTCCTTTTCCTCCACGTGCCTATACCCCAATAATAAAAGAGGCTCCTCATATGGGGGTCCACTTACTTTCCTCCACATACCCCTCAGTGGTAGGCCAGCTTCCTCACAAATAGCTCTGTTCAGATTCCTCCATATGGCCCTACCCAATGCGACACCAGCCTCCTCACATTCGGGTTCCCTCACTACTTTCAACCTGACCCTCTCGATGTTAGGCCAGACTCCTCACATGGAGGCCCCAGCAGTACCCTCCATAGGGGCCCCTGAATGGTAGACCAGCCTCCTCACACAGGGGTCTCCTCAGTTCCCTCCCCATGGCCTTCTTGACGGTAGGCCAACCTTTTCACAGGGGGTGCCATCAGTTTTCTCCACATGCCCACACCCCAATAATAGAAGAGCCTCCTCCTATAGGGGTCCTTCCATGTG